ATATTTAAAAACTCAATGCAATAAACCCAGCCCAGTTACTTCAAATTAGCTAAAAATACGCAAACTTTTTCCAACTAGGCGCCAGGTGCCTCTCATAAATTTTCTTCGGTTTTACTTCACCATCTTCTTATGTCTAAATGATTTTGAACGTTTAAGTCCATTCCTAATATGTGTATTAGAAAAAAGAACTTAATTTAGTAAAAACCAACCGTAACCTTAGGTTGAGGTCCTATGTCTAGGCTACCTGAGCGAAATCTTTATGTTTAAAGTATTTCTCTCTAAAGTTAAATCAGTAAAGTTGTGAAAACATATCAACCCTTTCAGTATTGATGCTTGGTTAAAACATTAATTGGCCAAATCAAGTTTCAACTTATGGAAACAACTTTAAGTGATAAAATGAGAGAAAAAACGCCTTTTGCCTTGTTGGATTTTAAAAACTTTAACTAACTATCCATAACCGAGCTTGGAAAAAATAAATTTAGCTCATGCTAATAAAGGAAAAACAGACTTGAACGTTAATGGAAGTAAAAGACATGACTAAAAGATGAGTAGAATTAAAACGAGCTGTAAATGGTGGAGTTGTAACCCGAATGACCCTAATCCGTTCTCTTTCAAGATTGGGGAGCAATACTCGGTCGATTCCTCAAGGTTGAGTGATTAAAACTTCGTAATGAGGAAGAGAGAGATGAGTAACAAAGAACTTGCTGGAATTTTAATTAAACAAGATTACAGCTTACAATTCAAGACTAACAAGCTAGAAATAAAGGGTGAACTAGAAATAAGTAAGGTTTAAAACAATAACAACTTAAAGACTAAAAGAGAAAACGTAAATAAGCTGAGAAGGAATGCCTAAAGCTAAAATGATCACTCTGGGATGATGAATGAAGAGAATGAGCTGCTGAATTTATAGGGACTTCAAGGTGGTTAGGAGGTTGAGAGCTTTGTGGAGAGCCATCCATTTCAAACACCTTTTGGTTGGTTAGTTGTTGAATTGACAACCTTCAATGCATGGAAGACACATGGCAGAGCTTGGGAAGGCTTCAAATCAAACCAAAACGTGCGTTTTGCATTAAGGGCAATCTCGGGATTGGGGAAGGCGCCAGGCGCCTAGCTCGGAAATTTTCTACACAAAATTGTAATTTCTGTTAGAAATCAACTCTAAATGATGTAAAAACGTCCTATGTGCAACCTAAGATAACTTAAAATGAAAGGTTTTGGACACTAAACCAAGCTTAAATCACGGTTTCCGAGTTTAAAACATTAGAAAACAACACCCATTTAGCTTCTTTTTACCCTTATGACAAGGGAAATCATTAAGTATATTTTGAATGTTATTTACAATGCTATTAAGTTATCGGGTAAGTAATTCATAGATTTTTTAGAATTTTAATTTTCTCTTAGCATTTAGGCCCTGTTTAAGGAATCAAAATGTGAATCAATCATAATGAAACAAATTCATGTTGTTTACTTCTATCTTTTTACTCTAAAATATTTGAAATCAGAATCAGAAACCAAATCATGTTTACTTCTATCTAGAATCGAAATAAGACATCATGATTATCAAAATACCCTTATATATTTGTAATTAATTTAAAACTGTATTATATTAACTAAAATAATTTATTTTTAATTTGAATTTTGAATTATTTCTGTCAATATCTTTCCTCAGTTAGTAGAAGATTTTTTTTTAACTCTATGTAAAGAACTCACTACTACAAATTTGAGTTTTAATGTCGGATAAAAATGAGCACGGAGGAAACAATGTCGGACAAGGTAAAAAACGCACTAAAATGAAAAAAAAATAAAAATTAAGTTTCAATGTCTAAGCCCGCTATTGAGGTACCGATCGAACGCTCTGAATGAATAAGAAATAGCATGCAGAGGGAATCGATGATTCTTATTCCACCAACCCTAACACTAATTTTTACCCCTAAATATTTTAACTCTAAAAAATTTTACCTCCCGACTCCGTTGTCAACCGAAATAGCTTGATTGTCGTGGATACGGTGAGTGAAGGGAAAATGGCATAGATAACTTAAAAAAGTTTCTAGTTTGCTCAACTGACCTCAATTATAAAAATTGACTCAACTGACCCAATTTTAACTTTTATGACATTTCAGAGAGTATGTAATTACGAATATACTCCCGAATTAATTAAACTACAACGAACCTAGCATAGAATCACGTAGGTTGGTGTAATTAAAACCATTGGCGAGTTCCACTTGATTCATGGCCGTGAATTTATTAAAGTACCACCAACTTATTAATTCCTCACCAAATTTTTGTACTATCATTTAATATATACCTACACATTCGCACAGATTGCAGAGAATAAAAGTATGTTTTAGTCCTTATTGTCCTCATGCACATCTTTCACGTTTTTTTGAAGAACTTTCATACCTTTTCCAACATTTTTCACATCTTGAATACCTTAAAGGAAGTCAAATTTTCATCTTTTACATGTTGAACAAGGTTAGTTTTTTATTGGATCCTAATATTGTTTTCGATTTGTCCAGAAAGTGATGTATGTAGTTGGAGTGAATGAAATTTCTGAAGTTTTATCAGTATTTTTGTGGGTCAAAAGTTACGTAAGTCAATGATTCATGGTTGTGTTTATTCATTTAACAACCATGGTCAATGGTTATATGATTAACAACTGTGGTTTTAGGTGATTCCGGTTATGGTTGCATACAGATAACCTTAATTGCCTCACGGCCATGGTCCATTTTGTTCAATTCGCGATCAGGGTTGTTTATTACCATGGTCGTGGTTGTTTGATTCGCGGTCGTGGTAACATATTACCGCAGCCGTGGTCCTTTATTGTTTGATTCACGACCGTGGTAACATGTTACCTCGGCCGTGGTCCTTCATTGTTTGATTAATGGTCGTGGTAGCATGTTCCTTCGCCTTGTTTGATTCACGGTCGTGGTAACATGTTACCTCGGTCGTGGTCCTTTATCGTCTGATTAATGGCTGTGGTAGCATGTTCCTTGGCCGTGGTTGTGTGTGCCCCCAACCGTGTTTGTGCTTTATTATGGTCGTGTCTCAAACTATCACGGTCATGGTGAATTTGATTACTAATTACTTGTGTGTTATTATTATTATCCATGCAGGATGCGTCAACTATTTGTGATCTACGGTGACAAGTGGAACGAGGCTGGTACGATGTACGAAGGTGGCGTCATGGGTGGGCTAGATGTTGATGAAACGATAGCATATGTCAACCTAGTAAGTGCCTTGCACATGCTTACTAGAATTGATCATGGCCAATTTGATCTTATTGTACAGTATGTATATAGATTTGATTTTTGGTATGAAGTCCCAAACTATCTGATATTTGATGACAGCACTTTGAGATTCTATTTGAATGGCCTTTCCGATCCATCACAAGTACCCTTGTATGTAACTGTCGTACCTAAAGCATCATATGGTAGTGGGAGCAAGAGAGGAGATAATTTTTTCAAAACCCATACATCGTCTTCATTCCTATACTACCCAGGGCAGAATGATCCATGTTTCGGCCGTTCTATTTCTATTGACTCTCCTCTGAACGATGTCGATCCCCTCTCATTTGTCCCACAGATTACACCATTGACCGATAATGTTGTCTCATGTAACCTAGGCGACGACGAATCTCCATATTATGGTCAACTGTACGAGAATGAGGTTGAGTACAAATTTCAGAACGATGATTAGTATGATTATGACGAATATCGTACCGAGGATGGGGTTGAGGACGATAGTGGGAATGGGTATGACAATGTGGAAGAGGATGAATATCATACCGAAGACGTGCTTGACGACCATTATGAGAATGAAGGTCAACATGTTCATGAGTCCCATACAGTGAGTGGGAATGCACCTTGTCAAACAGTTGAATGAGTCGTTTCACGTCCGATGTAGAATATCATAACTGGCAATGAGTCCGACTATGTAGGTGAAATTGTTGTTAAGGGTATTTTCCGTTCGAAGGAAGAACTACGATTCAAGCTATCTGTGTGAGCTATGAAGCATAATTTCGAATTTAAGGTTAAAAAATCGACGAAGACATTGTACACCATTGGATGAACCGAACAAGGTTACAAATAGGGTTTGCGTACGAAGAGTATCTGAGGTGGTGACTCATTCATCATTTCAATGTTTAATGATGTTCACAAGTGCAAACGTGAAGTACTAAACCATGACCACAGGCAAGGTCAGAGTTGGGTGGTTCGTCAGTTATTGAAGTCCAATCTAGAGGATGTCAGCCATTAGTACAGACCTAAAAACGTTATTAACGACATGCGAAAGAACTATGGGGTGAACATTAGATATGAAAAGGCATGACGGGCCAAAAATGTTGCCTTGAGTCTACTTATGGGGTCACCTACACATTCATATACTTTGTTACGCAAATATGGTGAAACATTGAAGGATGTTAACGTAGGCACTGTTTTTGAAGTGGAGCTGTAGGAAGATAAGTATTTTAAGTACGCGTTCATGGCCCTCGGTTGTTGTATTAGAGGGTTCTCCAGTTGTATCCGTCCAGTTCTCGTGATAGATGGTGCACATCTCAAGGGTAAATATAGAGGTGTGATTCTTATGCTTCTTCTGTTGATGGCAGCAATCAAATATATCCTCTTGCCTTTGAAATTGTCGATGAAAAGAGTGATCAATCTTGGACTTGGTTTCGGAACATGGTCAAGAAGTGCATTAGAGAGGTTGATGGGTTATTATTCGAATCTGATCGACATGTTTCCATTACGAAATCTGTTAGGCAGATCTTTCCTCAAGCAGCTCACGAAATATACATGCAGCACCTGTCCACGAACCTGAAGGACAAGTTCAAGGACGATGTCATGCAAGAAATGTTCATATTAGTAGCAAAGATCTGCTAGAAATCAGAGTTCATATACTATTTTTCCCAACTAGTAGGATTTCCAAAAGTCCAGCGATACTTGGAAGGAATCGGTTTTGAAAAATGGACTTGTGCATTTCAATCAGGTTTGACGTATGACCAAATGACATCTAATATTGCTGAGTCTATGAATGCAGTCCTCGTCTATGCACGTTATTTGCCAGTCACTACACTTTTGGAATATGCTCATGCACTCTTACAGCGTTGGTTTTACGAGAGGCAAATCTACGCATCCAGTCGCGAAACCATTCTCACTGACTATGGTGAGAATAAGATGCATACTATAGAGAACTTCTCTCGTATTCACTCCATCACACCCATTTACCATCACGAGTTGGAGGTTAGCAATGGACTAAAAAGAGTGCGTGTGAATTCAAATGCAAGGACCTGTGGATGTAAAGAGTTTGACTACTTCCAGCTTTCTTGTTCCCACGCTATTGCAGCGGCCACCTATGGAACGTGAACAAGTACACACTATGCTCACCTGCATATACTCTTCAAACTCTCATTAACGCATATGCCGAACCTGTGTACCCTCTCGGTGATGACGAGGATTGGATTATACCTGATGACTTTGTCGACCGTAAAGTAGAGCCGCCCAAATATGTTCCACGTGTTGGCCAATGTCAAACTGTATGAATTCCATTTGATGGGGAGACCCGCCAAGTCCACAAATGCAGTCGGTGTGGCAACATGAGACATAATAGAAAAACATGCCGCCAACCACTTAGAATTACAGATGGAGACATGTAAAACATTAGCTGAACTATTAATCGTATTTTGGAAAACGTTGTACTCTTATTCCCTTTTCTATTATTCGACCGAACCACTTTATATATTTTTCATTACTCTGTAGACTACCTAGGTCGAAATATATCTAAACACGCYCGTGGTCATACTTAGGGATGATTAGTCACTTCTTTGATAATTTCACGGCCGTGGTCATGATTCAAATATACGAAGGCCGTGGAAATTCAACACCACGACCTTGAATTTTCAACACCACGACCTTGATTTTTCAACACCACGGCCTTGAATTTCCTCAACCACACCAATGAATTATGAATATTTCGACCGTGGGTCCTGCAGTTTTTTGAGTAACTTCTTACTTAAATCGTTTTTCATCACCTATACCTGTATTTATCTTAACAATTTCCAAATCTATTTTATGAACCACATTCAAGTACAGTAAACATATTTCAGAATTGCATTCAACTGTATATGATTCAAAAAATGGGCATACTATCATAATAATAATGTTCAAATATACATCGCAAAAAAAATGGTCATATGATCATAATATACAAAACATAGTTTAGAACTATTACAAATGTATAATTCAAATGATAGATTTGTTCGCCCAAAGCTGAACGGCAAATTGCCGCCTAAAAAATGACATCCTAGACTGTGTTAAGGTATCAAAGTTAGATGCAGTGACATCAAATTCAAAAAATTTTACACTAAATATAACACAATGACCACCCATCTCCTGCTGGGGTGCTAATGCGACTCTACGAATGCACCATTACGTGATTGGTATGTTTGGCTTGTTTATCAGAATAAGTGTCGGGATAATGGTTACCATTGTCTTCAGCTCCTCTTCCAACTTAGGCAGTGGTGTCATGGACATGAAGGAGTCCCACACGATCAGCTCACCTTCTTCGAAGTCGATGCAAATCGTTACCCAGTGCACTCCATTGTACGGTAGATAAACAGCATCGACATCACATCTAGCACTTCTCGTAGTCCGAGTGAGTATCATCGATGTAGCTGGCACAGTCTTCGCTCTTCCCTCCCAATCATAATCTGTCGCAATCCTCGAAGCAATGGCGTTATGAGATTGCATGCAGGCATAGACCTCATCCGTTCGTCTCAGGAAATTATGTAACCATCAGGATTGTCATGGGTGGCATCATGCTGCGCGTCACGACCTTCCATTGCAGGCGGCATTTGCTCGCTTGCCTGTTCATCATCGTCTAAGTCGTCACTGGATGGTGGCTCGAATTCCCTTTCCATGAACCTCTCCTCCGCTTCCGTTGCGAAAAAGTCTGATAGCCACTTTAGTCTGTACACAAAACATACTACTAAGGGCACATTATATGAAAATAAATACCATATCGATGTACTAGTAAAGGATCTTACCGATATGGACTGGAATATCTCCTTATCCATGACAACCCACGTAGGTGAATGTCCGCACTTCCAAACTTCTTATAGTCTTCTCGAACGACAGCTCAACTCAGTCATAATTACAGCACACCTCTATGTCATCCACAACTCCTAAGAGGCTATTATCCAGCTTCAGAGTCCTATCCCTCCCCAAACAAGACAAGCTCCACGAATAATAACATTGATATCTTGACCGCATCAATGTCATCCTCGAACCACATCACCATGTACTTCGTCTCGAACTCATTTTGTAAAATATCGACTTTGTCATTGAAGTACAACTTCCTAAGACTCTTAGGAGAAGTGTCCTTACGAATCAGTCGCCTACTATATTTTAGGCCCGTTATCAGACAAAATTCACTAAATCTAGAAGATATTCTATTACCAAGCACGTTTATAGTAATTATGTCTGCTCTACTATCCTCCAACTCCCTAAGCAACATGTTATGTATAAGTGGCCCATTAAGTACGAGCTCTACGTCTAGCAAATGGCCGAAATGGTCTTCCTAAACATACTAAGTTGCCTAGGGGTTAGTTTACTCTTAATAGCCTTAACCGTGCTCCCTACATAGGATAGGCAGGTCAAATTGGCTGAACGATAGCTAGAGGGAGGAATCTTAGATACCATCTCCATTTTATAAACCTGAAATACAAGTACGATATATACATAACTTATTATTCAGTAAGTCAGAACCCAAACAAGAAAGGAACAGATGAAAATGATAAAAGAAGAGGAAGGAAATACATATTTTGTCCATATTCACGGGCTTACCATGGGCTAGGTAGTGATCGAAATTTATGGCAGAATCTAATCCTCGTAAAATTGAACGAGGATATTGATTCTGTCAAAACTCAAGGCCACGACCATGGACGTGGTACGATCGTGAAATTGGACAGAACGTAAAGTACATTTAATTGAAGGAGGGTCTGCTTCGTTCAAAAACCACGGCCGTGTTAACGGCCGCGGTTCAACTAAAATTTTGAAACCTTAAACCCTCCTTCTTCCACTGCTGAAAACCCTAAAACAAAACGATAACGCTTAACAACCGCAACAGAAAACATAAACCCACACAAACCCACGCAAACACAAAATTTGAACGATTTCTGCAGCAGAAAACATAAACCCTAAAGCTTTAAATCAAAATTTCAACCACAACCGCGAAGATAGAAAGACATCAAATCATAAACAAAAAATGCCGATTTCGAGCCCTAGAAGTACCAAAAATACTAAATAGATGGAATGAATGGACGAATAGCGAAAAAATCGCAAATATGAGTACAAAAAAACTTCTTTTCTTACCATAAAAGGGACGTAAATACTAAAATGTGCTAACCTCGAAGTTTCAGATATGGGAAGCGATTCGGAGAACGAAATTGCAACAAAGTAGTAGAGAGTGAAACTGAGAAAATTGAGGCAGAGTAAATCGGATGGGCGAAAACGAAAACGAAAACGGAAGAAAAGAAAGGAAGATGGAATGAGAGGATACCAATAGTTGGAATTTGAACTGACGAGTATAATGGTCATTTAATTCACGACCGTGGTCTTAACTTTCAAGGCCATGGAAAAACAAACAATTTAACCACGGTCAAACCTTGCCCATTAGTTCTTTCGTGAACACCACGGCCGTGGTGTTAATTTCATGGTCATGGTCAAGCTAACAATAACCACGGTCAAACCTAGCTCATTAGTTGTCTTTTATGAATACCACGGTTGTGGTACTATTTTTCACGGTCATGGTCAAGCTAACAATAACCACGGTCAAAACCTCATCGTGTTAATTCGATCAAGCCCGTGGTTTATGGTTGGTTTGCGACTTCTCACTTGCGTTCCAGATTGAGGCTAAAATAGTAATTTACCGCTTCAATATTCTATTCTAAATATTAAATTGGGTCAGTTGAGTCAATTTTTATAATTGAGGTCAGTTAAGCAAACTAGAAACTTTTTTAGGTTATCTATGTCATTTTTCCGTGAGTGAACGAGGATAATGTGGAGGTGAGAGCTTCAACAGCTACCTCCATCTCTTCAATTGACAGCAACCTCCATCTCTTCAATTGACAGCGACCTCCATCTCTCTGAGCGGCGCGAGTGATGGTGACTTCCAGTTCGAGGATTCTGAATGTTGCAGTGCGGAGAAAATCCCTCCAACTTTGTTCTTTGCTGCAATAGCTTATGAGCTCTCTTTTTCCTTACCTATATATTATTATTCCTGTTATGAAAAGGGACGAGCTTCATAAAGTTGCAACACCAAAGAGCTGCTTGTAAACACCTAAACACAACAGGAGGAAGAGTTCGACTCATTTTCCACCTCAACCAAATAGTTATCTCCACATTTGTCATGTCAAGGTAGTAATATGCTATTCTTTTATGTGTTTTATTTTCTTGTCTTTGACCAGAAGTTCCTTGTACTTCTTGTTAGCCATTATGATCAGTCGTGAAATGTTTGTGGATTTTTGCCTGGCAAAAGAGTGAGGTGGAGGCTGCTATTTCAGTTATTTTTCTCTTCTTTCGTTTTCTGAGAATTTCTGTTGATCCATTCTATCTTTAACTATGTCTATATTCTTCCATATTAAATCTTGTCTGGGTTCAAGTTTGTGACCATTCGTTGTCCACTTCACGAAAGTATGAATAATATGGTTGGCCACTTTTGTTTTTACTGTTGTTCCAAAATGTGTGCTTGTTGGTATGATGACGCCAACCATGTAGCTAAGAGGAAGGAATATATTGATCATCTAGAAGAAATTGTCAAGTGGATTGGCTGGGAGCCTTTCAAGGTGTAATTTTAGTCCACTTTGCTTATAAACTATCTGTTTTACTCTGGTTTAATCTTGAAACCATTTGGTGTGGTGTTATTTTCTTCAAATCACTTATACTAGTGATTATTTCCGAGATCTGTATGAATTGGCTGCATAGCTTATATGTACAGGTCAATCTTTGTATTTGAATATCTAGTTGCATTTGTGCTGTGTTGAGGGAACATCCTTGTTGAAAATGGCAAGATTTCTGGACTTCCAAATCACCACGAAGTAGACATAAACAAATAATTAATATCAAGTTTCACTACCATTATCTTTGTTTTTTCACTAATTTTTTACACAATTAATATCAAGTTTCCATCTATTTTTACATTCTGTTCTACTGCAATCAAAGAATCTGCATCTCCTTTTCTCATTGTTCAGAGTTTCTGGGTTTGCTAATTATGCGGCTTGACATGTATATTGCTCCATAAAGAGATTATCCTATTTATTCATATATTCAAATAGAAATTGTCACGATACTTATTTTAGCGTGGTAGGATTAGATCATCCAAAATTGCAAGCATTGTAAGGTACAAGGGAAACGCATAAAACACTGAGTGAGCACTTTTTCCTCCAGTAATAAGAGTCACGGAAATTCTCGCTTTTATTATCCTTTTACACACTGATGTATATAGAATTTATTTGTACATATTGTTGCCCTGCAGGTAAATTTT